AAAATTATTTTTATTTTAAAAACGCATTTACAGAATTCGTTTTTATAATTAAAAAAATTATTTAATTTTTTTTTTTATTATAAAACGTATTCAGATTACACGGTTTTATCGAAAACGTATTCCGGTTTTTCGTTTTACCTTAATTTAATTATGTTAATTATGTTTTTTTCTTAATACGTATTATAATAATACGTTTTTTTTTATGTGAACGTATTTTAAGAATACGTTTTATAAATAAAAGCATTTGAAAACGTATTGTCGGAATACGTGGTTTTGATTTTTTTCCACTCCTTTTTTTTGTTTTTGTTTTTGTCCAGTTTTTTTTTTTTATTTTTAAAGAAATCAAAAATTCCTTAGATCCACCTCAGAAAAATATTTGCCCCTTGTAACTCATCAAATAGCTCATCAATCACATGTACTGGGTAATCATGCTTCACAGTCAATCTATTAAGAAACCTGTAATCCACACATAATCTCCAAGTAGTCTTTCTTCTTCACCAAAATCACTGGTGAGGCAAAAGGGCTCTTGCTGTCTTGAATTATGCCAGAATCCATTTTCTTCACTATCTTCTCTATTTCTCCCTTGTGATTGTGTGATGATCTATAGGGAAATTGATGCTTGGGTAAATTGTTTGGTTTTAGTGTGATTTGATACTCAATGCCCCTGCTAGGGGGTAACCCCTTTGGCTCCTGAAATATGTCATCAAATTCCAGTAGTAGAGATTCCACTTTTTGTGATTGAACTTGGTGGTTAGGTTTGCACATATCCACCAAATAAACTTCTTCAATTTTTCTGCAATGACTTTGCAAATAACTTCTAATTTTAGGGCCTGAATTTTTGTTCTCTTTCCCTTTAGTGTTACTGTGAAGCTCATCCTTTCATAATCAAGTTCAATGGGAGTACAACTCTTAAGCCAGTCACCCCCTGGTATCATGTCATAGCCCCCCTTATCCAATACCCTCAATGAATAGGTGAAGGTATGTCCTTGTATCTTCCATTGGAACCCTTCCCCAAATTAATTACTGAGCATTCTTTGTCCATTGGCCACCCTTACCCTGATTGGCCTACCTGATTTAAGTGTTAATCCCACGGATTCTGTCATTCTAGCCTGTATAAAACTCAGTGTACTACCTGAGTCTATCAATATGTGCAACTTCTTGTTTCCAAAGTCCCCATAAACCCTCATGGTAGTTAAGCCACCCTCACCAGCAATAGAGTTTAAGGACATTTCAGCTTCTTCCAACGTTTCCTCAGGTTCTACTTGCACCTCTGAGCACTGCTGAGCGTGCAGGTAGTTAAGTTCCTCTTCCTATGCCATCATCATGTAGTGTAACCTGTGTTTGCATCTGTGACCAAAAGTGAACTGTTCATCACAGTTATAGCATAGCCCCTTCTGTGTGCCTGAGTTTGTTGAACTCACCAATGATCTTAGATTCCTTCAGGTCTTCAAACCTTGTTGTGATGACCTCCAAAAACCGTGCCCAAGAGATTTCACCATGTTTAATACTAAAATTTTAAAACCACTGTGCTGCTTTATCCTCTAAATGCATAGAGGTCGGTGTAACCTTTTGAGCTTCAGGGATATTAGGGATAATTTTGAAATATCCATTACATTTAGAGATGTCAAAATGGGCCTAGGCCCGCGGGCCATCCCGCTCCGCGGCGCCTAATAGGCGAGTTGGGTTAGTATTTTATAAGCCCGTCAAAGAGCGGGCCTATTAGGATTCAACATATTTCAACTGAAAAAAAAAAAAAAAAAAAAATCTCCAAACACGCCCTAGGATTTCACGCCCTTATTTGGCCCCCTTTGGCTCTTTCGTCATCATTTACCCCTTCTCCCCCCACACACTGCCCTTCCCTGTTTTCAATAGATATCGCCACAGACCCTTCTCCGCATCCCGGACTCCCCGGCGCCCCACTCCGCCGGAATTCTCGGTACATTCAACCACATTCCGTCTCTCACTCTTCTATAAACCCTATACCTATCACTTAATAGCACTCGCGCCGCCCACTTCAGTCCAGTGAGAAGATAAAAGAAAAGAAAAATGGGCGTCGATTACTATAACACCCTGAAGATCTCGCGAGACGCGTCGGAGGAGGACGTCAAGAGATCCTACAAGAGGCTGGCGATGAAATGGCACCCCGACAAGAACGCGGTGAACAAGGAGGAGGCGGAAGCCAAGTTCAAGCAGATAAGCGAGGCGTACGACGTGCTGGGCGACCCCAGGAAGAGGCGGATCTACGATTTGCACGGGGATGAAGGGGTGAAGGCCGGCCTGTTCTCGAGGGAGAGGGATTCTGCGGCTGGGTTGAGGGATTTCGGGTTTGGGTTTGCCCCGAGGACGGCGGAGGAGGTATTTGAGGAGTTTTTTGGTGGGTTCGATTTCGTGAAGGAGCAGAGGAATGGCGGTGACGCTGGGCCGAAGAAGGCGGCTCCGATGGAGAGTCAGCTGCCGTGTAGCTTGGAGGAGCTGTACAAGGGGTCCAAGAGGAAGATGAAGATATCGAGGATTGTGCTCGATGAATCCGGGTGAGTGAACAAGTTTTAAATTTTTATTTTGGTATTTCTAACTATAGTATTAATTTTAATGGATTAGAAGTTTGAATTTTGAGTAATGCAACTCATCTAATCACTTGTTTTCTTATTTCCTTTTCTTGTTGGTCCCAAAAGTTTGGACTTGCTCAAGAGATCGACTTGGGTTGATTGAACAGTGAAATACATTTGAAATTGGAAAGGACCCCTTCTGGGCGTGGTCATCCATGTCCATATGTTTTGGTGTATAATAAACTAGGAACTCATATGCTAAATAACAAACAATGTAATAAAGAGTTGATTTTTGGTGATCAATTGAAACATTAGAGTTGAAACAAGTCTCATATACATGATGTTTATCTTGAATTGCTTTCGTACTTATGGTGTCACGATTAGATTTACAAGTCGGCTTTTATCTTCTGTCACGGGATACTATTCTGGTCTGTCTTGGTTAACTTCATCATCCCTTTTCTAGTTATTGGAACTGAGTATAATATGTTTTCTGTTAGTTTTCATTTCAAAGCATAGATGTTGATATATGAGTGTTTCATTTTGCTTGCTTCCTGATATGAATGTACCAGAGGTAAATCAGGACCTATAACCTATATTCACGAGACTGAGATAGAAGTTTAGAGGAATCTTTCTGCTTCTTGAGCATATGGGTGACCTTTGTATCGATTTTATTTTCTCTATTCTAAATATCAGATTAGATTTTATTTACTTTTGTGGTTGATGACTATATAACCTAGAGGTGTTTAGTCTTACTTTGCGACATTTGTCTAATGTCCACCTTGAAGGGGACTGGAGAAATAGAAGACCCGTCTAACACATCACTGCTACCTTCATATTTTGAGGGGAAAAAAAAGGAAACTTATTAATTTTCTACTTTCATCTGTGGTTTTTATATGCTGCTATGTCTCTGTACGCAGTAGTTAAGACATTATTATCAAAGAATGAACCACATAAACTAAACTCCCATATTCAGCTGTGATAAGCTTTTGGTGCTGGCAGATATGAGCATGCACTCTACTGTTTATAATGTTCGGATGCATCCACCTAAAGAATAACCAGTTGGAAATACAAAAGCCCAGTTATCTTCTATATTCACGAATATACTACCTTGAGATAGATTATAAAATAAATTCATAACCACAAACACAGGATTTGTGATGGGCTTCAGGGTTGATTTTGAAAATTAATTTGGGCTGTTTTATAACTAAGCTGAGCTGCAGGGTAGCTTTCGTAATAATCCATTAGTTAACATATCATCATTTAGTCTCTATTTTGATGTGCCTATTTATAATTATTTGCAGTAAGCCTGGCACAGTTGAAGAGGTCTTGTCCATACACATAAAACCCGGCTGGAAAAAAGGTACAAAGATTACTTTCCCTGAGAAAGGGAACCACGAAGCCGATGCTGCCCCAGGAGACCTCATTTTTGTCATTGACGAAAAACCCCATCCCGTTTTCAAGAGGGATGGCAATGACCTGATTGTCTATCAGAAAATCTCGTTATTGGATGCTCTCACCGGAAAGATTCTCAACATAACCACCTTGGATGGTAGAGACATACCTCTTACATTATCGGATGTCGTCAAACCCGGCCAGGAATTGGTGATTGAAAATGAGGGGATGCCGATTTCAAAAGACCCCGGTAACAATGGGAACTTGAGGATCAAGTTTGATGTCAAGTTTCCATCGAGACTTAGTGCAGAACAAAAGTTGGAATTGAGGCGGGTATTGGGCAGGGCAGCAGCTGAGTAATGTTGCGTTCAGTGAAAATGGTATGATTTGTCGTTAATTAAGTGTATATAGTTAACATTTTGGGCTGAAAATGTTTTTGTGCATAGTAGGAAAAAAAAAAAGAAGAACCGTTCTTTTGTTTCCTTTTTCCTTTTTGGAGCATTCGGCAGTATGTAGTTCTGACTCAACAGCTGATTCAGCTGTGAAACGTAACATCGGTTATGTGGAATCTGTAAATAATAATAATGTCCTTACATTGGAGATGGATTCCATATGTGTGCGTATGGTCTTACTGCTGAGTTTGTGGGGATTTTTGTTTATTTTAACATAACAAAAGCTTGAAAGGCATTTTAACATACTTTTGTTATATTTAATTTAGACTTCTCGAGTTCTGAGTTTGTTAAAAGACTTTTTAAAATTTGTTGGGATTTCTCAAGAATGTCTGAGTTTGTTAAAATCTTGAGGCATCTAACATATTCGAGACTAAGATTTGTTAAGACTTTTAAGATTTGTTGGGATTTTAAAGAAAAGAAACATATACGAAATCGTACTCCAAATCACATCTACATACTTAAGATTTCACATGATTTCTCTAAAATTTGAAAATCGTAATAGTTTCTATCTAAAAAAGTCAATAAATATCACTCGAAACCCCAAACAAATACGAAACTCAAGCAAGATTGTTTATTATTGAAGCATGAATTACATAATATAACACAGTTACACAAAGTTTGCTTCACAAATCATAGCTGGAGAAGGTGATGAGCTGCTTTGTGCTGGTGATTTATCAGATCTTGTGGCTGTGATTTTGGGGTATAATCAAATGACCCACTTGGAGTTGGGAGCATTATTGATGCATTATTGATCACTTTAGAACCTGTGCTTCTCAATCTTCTTGAGAAGGTCCTCCTTTTTGGCCCCAACAACCTTGTCCACTTCTTTCCCTTTCTTAATCAGTAAAAATGTTGGCATTGCGTGCACTTCAAATTCTTGCGCTACATCCTGTTTGTACAGTTGATAAAACCATTAATACCGAATAGAGTAATCGAAGCACAACATTACTCGTGCAGCGTTCGTGAGAAAACTTTTGCTTTTAAAAGAATCTGTTTATTGCAGCAATAGCAAAAAGTAGTTTGAAACGAACAGCGTACATATAACTCATCAACGTCAATCTTGATGAACTCGACATCCGTATACTTTTCAGCAAACTCATTCACAGCAGGCTGAATGTACTGACAGGGCTTACACCAAGAAGCCGTGAATTCGATGATGATCTTCAACAAAAACAGAATCATACTGTCAGGAAAATTTCTCGTATAGAAGTTAAAAGATTGAGATTTTTAGCAATGTGGTAAATTACGACAGAGAGCTTACAAGTTTCGAGGTTTGTTTAGACGCCTCGTAATGGATTTTCCACTTAGATGAGGAGTGAAATGCATTAACCTGGCCCTTCTTTGTTGGTGGTAATATATTGGTTTTTGCTGGTATTATCACCCTGTTATCATGAACACTTGAAACATTAGCCCCCATTTTGATTTTGATTTTTATTTTTTTTTCTACTTCAACTTGAGTACTAAAGGCTTGGTGGCAAATGCTTTATATAGTGTACTTGCTGCTGCAGCAATCTTCTCTGTTTTCTTTTTTGACATTTACCTGGCAGAATATATTCGTACTCAACCGGCTTTATTCAGTTATTCGGTAGACCACTTGCCTTAACTATGTTGCTATGCCAATGCTACTCTAATAACTAGAAAATATGAAAAGGTACAACCATCTTTACATGAGACCTTTTGAGGCCATTTCTGTACTGTTTAATGAAAGCTTCCAACTTTAATATGGATCGGTTCTGTAAAATTCAATGCCAGTAAGTCATAAAACAGACCCATGACAAAATCTTGGAACAATATCAGCTAAAGCATCAAATTGGTGATGAACAGCCACAAAATACCTTTTTTTTTTTTTTCTTTTAAATACGAAGACTTTTGATGATTGTAAGCCATTTCATGTGCAGGTTTAGGCTGCAATTCAATATTTGACGATAAACGGGGTTGGATAGATTCGTCCGAAAAGCTAGATGAAACTGAGAAGTGTCTAACCAACACTTATACTGTTATACATAATAGCACCATATAAACTACTAATGTGGGGCCAAAAATAACTTCTAGTGGTCGTCGTCGTTAGGCACGAGTGCCAAATCAAATGGGTGAGATCCAAAACCCAACACCTCCGACCAAACAAACATGTGTGCTTTGATACTACGGTAAATGGGTTCGGGTAGAGCACACCTCCGAAAGTTAGCTAAAAAACAGAGAGGGTGTCCCACTCACATTTATACACAATAGTAGCCCAATAACTTCGACAAATAGAATAGTTCAAAAAAAAAAAAGTATCTCTTTCAAAAGATCTTTTCCTCCGAGCCCAAGCCTTTCTTCCACCTTGGTTGTGCCTCTCCTCCGCGGCCCTGGTTCTTGCGGTCCCGACGAGCAGCTGGCTCGCCATGGGCTCGACGTCGTGCGGCTATGGCGTTCTCTCCATTCTTCCTCCCCATAATGGTTCGTCTCTCATCCCGAGTGCCATGGAGTGCGAGAATTTCGCGGATGACTAGGCTGCGGCGGACGAAGCAGGAGTCTTTGTGGAGGTCTGTGGCGGCGATCTAGCCTTGGTTCTCCCCTCTCAGGCCTTCTTTGGTGTTGTGAAAGTGCGGTCACCAGTGTGGAGTAGACCGGCCTAGGCGGGTCTGCGGATTTCTCATAGCGGTTGTTGGATCTGCGGTCCAGTTCTAGTTAGCCTATTAGGGGAGTTGCTAGTTTCATTGTGTTTGTGTTGTAGTTCTCGTGGCTTCTCTCTAGTGTTCGCGTTTGGGTGTTAGTTTGAGTTGTGTTGGTGTTGGGTGTTCCTGTCTGGTGGGAAGAGTGGGTGTTTTCGTTTCTTTTGTCATTATGTTTTTAGTTTTCTTGTTAGTTTTGTGTTTTTGGTTCGGTGTTTTATTCTCTTGTTGGAAGTTTTGTATTGTCTTGTTAGGAGCTATTGTTTTTTAGGAATAATATTCTTTGTTTAGATTGTTTCTAGACTGCCTCGGGCTAGATGTCTATTAGGTTAGTCCTCCTAACTAGATTCAACCAAGTAGTTGATTTATTAAGCTATTTAACTGCTTTCTAGTATGTAATTACGTGTTTTTCTTTTATTGAAGTCTATAGTTTAAGAAAAATAAAGATAAAAATGTGGAATAAATTGTTTTGAGAAGGAGTGAAATATTATTTAGATTATAAGATATGTAAAATAATAATATATTAATTGATAATGATTGGTAGTTAGAAGTTATTAGTGAGTAAATAGTATTTTTTTAATTGAAAAATGTATAATAACAATTTCTTTTTAGTTTTAATTGTGTTAGTGAGATTTCAAAAAAAAAAAAAAA